GTGGAAATCTGTGGTCCAAAATCTGGCACAAAGTCGAGTCTGACTTGTTTTTACCAAACTCTGGTTTGGTAAAAAACAATGTTCATCTGTGGACAGCATTTATAAGAGACAAATTATTAACTTTACCACAACTGTGCATGTTGGAACATTCTGTGTGTGATCTGCCAGATGAATTAAATATTGGAACTAACATTTCTTTGATGTTTCTCTAGAAGGACTGATGATGTGAAGAAAGATCCTCAACACCCCCAGAAAGATGGAAGGTAATAATTTGTCTTTTGTACCACAGGTAGATACAATTTAAGCCATATATTATTATGACCCTCAATTAATCCATCAGTACTTATTCTCCATGTCCCTGAGACCAAAATTAGTCAATTTATATTTGCTGGATTAATTCAGTGATAGTATGATGTTTGTTCCTATTTTCTTTTTTTTCTATTTTTGTTTTCACAGCTTGAGTCAGCAGGAGAGAAAAGAAGCATTGAGAAATCTGAAAAAAAAACCAGGCACAAAAGAATCAAAGCAACACTCAAGGTATATTTTGGATATGGGAATAACATTATAACATGGTGTAAAGTTTTAAAAAAGTCAATTTTACATAAAATCTCTCCACCTTAAGAGAAAAATACTAAGAATAACACGTTTCTGAAATAATTCTCTATGTCGACAATTTACATTAGATATCAGTTGTTCAAGTTGCTAAAAGACCAATTTGTCTCTAAACCTTTGAGATGTATTACATGAAAAAGAACCTACAATTTAACCACCTAATAATATTTTATGAGTATAGCTCATGTAATTTATTACAATTAACGTTCATTTTTTTAGGGTAGGAGTCTGTTTGACTGCTGAAAGTCACTGCCAGGAGATAAGGTCATAATTATGCTGATTGTTATTAAAAACTTGACAGACATGACACAAAGTTTGAAAAGCCATTTTAAAAATTCTTCAATAGTAGTAACATCGCTGATTAATGAATACAATAAAATGTAATAAATGCTGTTTGATATTCATGTGATTCTTTTTAAAGAATTGCCTTGACTGAACCCCTTCAACATGATCTCCAGAAGATAAGGTAACTGCATGGCTTATTTAAATTGTATTAATTGTAATAGTTTAATTAAACTCATTTTAACAAATAAATAAATTGCAGAAAACATTAATTGAAAAGATGTCTGTGATGATTCTACAAATCATCAGAGACAGATGATGAAAGTATTGAATGTCTACCAGATCCAGTCTGAGTTACATTTTTGTTAAATCCTGTGTCCAGAAAGGAGTGTTAACAAACTCAACCTCTCTGAGGAAGAGGCCACTGAAAGGAGTAACATAGTTTTATTAAACTCCCCTGTAGAAATTTTAAAAAAGTAATCCCTCAATAATAAAGTATCTGCAAATGTTGTGTAATGTCCTATTATATTGTTGGCCTGGATATGTGTCCCTCTTACAGCCCCCAGACCCATAAGCTTTGTCATATCTGTCTCTCTGTCTTTCTCTCTCTTTTTGCCTGAATTTCTTTTGTAATGATGTTTAGTTTTACTCAGATTTTTTTATCCCCTGAAATGCCTAAAGTTTTATATCTTTATCCATTTAATTACATATTTTCTGCAAGCTAAACCAGATGTTCTACTTGTACTAATGTACATGTATCCTAACCCCATATATGTCTTTGGCAATATAAAGAAGGGTCTCCATCCAGCAAACAGAAGAATCTGAAGTAATTAAATACATAACAATCCTTACAAGTTTTTACCAGACTGTAAGTTTGCCACATGCTAGATGTTGACACTAAGTGTGTGACTTTTGCACAAATGTGAGACAATCAGGAATTCACTGTTTTATAGAGGCCATTACTTCTGACTTTGTTTGATATACTAAATAACTGAGATGTTTGTTTTATTCTCTGAATTTTGTTTTAAAGTAAATCTATTGGCCAAGCGGAGAAGGAACTCCAATCACTTGAAGAAAGGTGAGGTGCATGCAACCTGTTTTTCATCTGTAAAGTAACTTTTTTTTAAAATGAATGCTGTGCATGAAAAGTCCTACTTTATTTTCAGTGTAATTTTATTTACAAATCTAAAGTAAAATCAGGAATATGAATAGAAACAACGATATCTGTTGGAAGCTGAAAAAAATATAAGTGGGTCAGCCTTCCTATTAGTCTTGGGAAGATGAAAGTAAACCAGTTCTATGGTTTTAGATATGGACATCTTAATACTGTCTTGTCTTTAACAAGTTCTAAGATGACTTAATAAAAATGTTTTGTACACTAGATTTTTCTGACAAAAATACATTTTGGAGGTGTTAAGAGATTTATTGATTGCCATAATGATTTTTGTTTGAGACACCTTAGACCACTACCAAGAGACAGGCTCTGACTGATGAACTGTTTACTGTAGGTGAACATTAACAAACGTTCTACATGTTGTTCTAGTGCCTTATATCTTATATAAAAAGAGTATAACAATGCTTTGTGGAGTTGGACATTCTTTCATTGCTAAGAGTCTAGTAACATCATTATACATCCGAGGCTAAATGGTTTAGATGAGCCCCCTCTCTAACACAGCTCATTCAAATGGCTCAGTAACCTCAAAAGGCCAATAAGTTTAGCAAAACATTTCTACCAAAGCATTAATTTGATCAAATCCTGGGGCATGAGAGGAAGACTTATCTTTGTCTTGTTTAATCTTGAAGAATGTAATAAAAATTGTCTCTCATTTTTCTGGCATTTAGTAAAAAGAAAAAAATGGTGAGCCTAATTGGCCTAAAGGTTTATTCTGATTTCACATCAAACAGTGTGAAATAACATGCACGTGTGTCTTCATATAAAGTGTAAGTAAGTGTCTGGTTTCAGTTTGTGTAATGTACAAGCAAAATCAGCCAGAACCCAAAACGCAGCAAAGACAAGTGATCAATACACAAAAAGTTTATTACAAAATAAGGGTGAAGAAGGGGCTCCACAGGGTGTGGTCACACTGGTGACTGAGGAATGGGGGATCCACAGGGGTTGGGAAGCCAGCTTGGGGAGGGGAGGGTGAATGGGCTGTGGGGACTCAGGGGGCAACCAGATGACTGGGACAAAATCCACAAACCAGAGACTTAGTAGTTGAACAATCCAGGGTCATGCACGGGGGCTTCTTAGGCAATGTAAATCCAATAGACAGAAAACTGGAGGCAGGGTCAGAAGCAGGCAGGGTTCAGCAACAGGAGGTCAAAAATCTTCTACAGCAGAGGGAAAAGGCCAAAATCTGTGGTCAAAAAACAGACAGGATCAGAAAACCAGGAGACTCATGAACATGGAACAAGGCTTGAAAGCTGTGACTGTGACAACAGACGATCTCACACTGAGCTGGTGACGAGGAGCTGTTTAAATAGGGAGCAGCACAGTGCAGGTGAGGGTAATGAGTAATCAGCACAGTCAGGGTAGGGCTGAAATCATGACAGTTTGCATAAAAAGGATTCTGAAATCTGACTGGTAAAGTTGAACTGAATCAGGATCATGGGAGAAATAAAGCAATGCTAATTGAGGAAGAGTAGCGAAAGGTCCACCACAGCGATTTGAAAGGCTGAGAATTTCAGAATAGTTGGTGAGAAAACACACATGCAGGACAACAAACTGTAAACTTGTGCAGCCCTCCCCACTATTTCAATTCTGCATATATTTTATTTATTAAATAAATAATCTTCTTCTATTCTATTCCTTTTTTTAATAAATGTCTATTTTCACAGGGTGAACGAAGAATTTGAAAAAGCAAGGTATACATTTTTTATACTTTCATTCATTAAAGTCAACTTTTACACTAACAGAAAAATAAATAAAATCTATGTGAAGAAATCTTCTACTAAAACAAATTTAACTACATATTGTTTCATACAACACAAAATTGAATTGTCATACTTTCCATCCAACGTGCACGGACAAAAAAATTATATTAGTTATATGCTTTTTTGTAGTTAAAAATAGAAATAAACATTTTCATGATTTCAAATGACAAACTGGGTGCACAACCTTGAGTATATTGAAGATCTTCTCTATTCCATACAGGAATACTATATTTGTCCACATATATGACAAATGGTGGGACATGGCTTATTATAGCAAAGCTCCTAAATTGAAGCCTGCTTTACCTGTTAAAACAGTTTTGATGTATTTTTGTGATCATTGTCCTTCTGGACTCTCTCATTATGTTCAAGTTTCAACAATGTTTCTCCCTCAGATGGAGATAAATTTGTTGGGATGTTCAGAACCACCCTGAGTTTTGAACTGTCAAATAAAATATTGAAGATCTTTTTTATTGCTGTTGGATGTCTCTGCATTGCAACATACACAGAGAACAAACTGATTTTTAGGTGATTATTTGGACATATTTACCAAGGCATCATTTGTTGTAGATTTGGTGGCATAAACATGATCTAGAAATCTCAAATCTGTTTGGGCTTTTTCTCAATATACAACACACATTTAAAAAATGTAAGTGACTGTAAAAGTTACTTCTAACGAGTCAAAACTTCAAAACAAGGTTTATACTACAGTTGAACAGATACCTGTCAGAAGATAAGACAATTTTTCAAAAAACAGTATGATTTAATTTACATTATGTGTTTTTGTTAATAGGACTGAGGCACATAAAAAAGATGAAGAGCTGAGATCATTGTATGACAGGTAGAGTACCTATGTAAATAGTTTTTGTACCTTTGGTTACATACTGACTGACTAATGTTTCAGGTACTTAAATTTAATGATTGTTGTTATTCTGATGCACAGAGCAGCAGGAGATGTTGCTTCTTCAATCAAAACAGGAAAAGCCATCAACCTTAACAATCCAGTTAGCAAACCAAGGATAATAGAATTATATGAAGACCTGAGATGGAAATGGCCAAAAATCAAAGCTAGTCTGAAATTAAAGGGTGGAAATGAGAACTCATCTAAAATCAAAGATCTGATGGCGGTATTGTAAAATCAAATAAATTTGTAGTTAATTTTTATTTATTATAAAAGTTCTTTCTGAAGTAATATTATCTTTACTCTCTGTTGTTGTTTGTAATTTAAATGAATGGAACCAGAAAGCGTTTAACGACGCACAAGCTGAAATGGAAAAAAAGGTGAAGCAGATAGATGCCGTATTTGAACTGAATATGGCAAAAAGTGATACAGCAAATTCAAAGGTACTGGATCAAAGATTTTAATATTGAATCTAAGTCATTTGTGTTGTTACTAATTAAATATTACATTTGTTCCAGGTTAAGGAGTACAGACAGCTGACTATTCAGAATCTGCAACTTGCAATCTACAGTGAGAAACAGGATTTAAAGGTTTGTTTGACTAAAATTATTCTCAGGATAACATACAATAGGACCCCTACAACTTGTAATTCTTGGTAAATGTAATGTTAATTTGGAATAATGTGATTATTGTTTATGTAGTTTTTTTGTACCTCTTCACCATAGAACCCCACACCACTACACCAATGTCAAACCCTTCAGCATGTGGTGGATTATTTGAGATATGAGTGCTTCTGGTTGGGCCGCCTGATGGCTCTGAATGATCCTCCTCTTGAACCTGATTGGTGCAGTCCTCCCACCACGTACGACAAATGGGACCTTCTACCTCACAGTATCACTGAGTATCAAAAGGACCGAGCGAACATTTCTAAAGTGAGAAAGCGTTGAATTTTCAAAGTGACTGAGGATGTTGTACAGATTAATTGCTTGAAATTGTAGAAGATATTTGCTATTTTTTAATTTGTATAAAATGCTAGATTAGTTGTCAGCTTCACTGAAGTATATTTAAAAATGTACTGAAGTATAAAATAGCTTTGGCATATTTTTTATCAAGCTTGAGGTTTTAAATAGACTGTCAGTTATTGCAATTATGTAACATTCCTTTTCATTTTCTGCTGTACATGAAAACTTTTACAAATGTTTTCATTTTGTATATCGCTTTTATGATACATTTACTGCCATTTTTTTATGCTTTTCTAATTTTGTAGCTGAATGTTTTCCTCAGGTGACTTGAAGACTCAATATTTTAGTTTGCTGTATAACCATCTTATCCAAAACATGGTGATACCCCGTACTCTCTGTCAAATAAAGATGAACACACATAAAGTACCTATAATAAATTCTGATTTAGACTGGAAATATATTTTGTATGTCATTCCATAAGAATCTCAGTGGTTTGTGTTGGGAACCAAATCAACAATGTTTCAGTAAATTT